CCCAAATCTTCATCGTATGGCTCATCAACTTTATCCCTCTGTAGTTGTTACAACTCTGTGCATCACCCTTCTTATAAATTGGCACCAGAACACTTTTCCTCCAATCATCAGGCATCTTGTCCGTCTCTAAAATTCTGTTAAACAACCCCATCAGGAAATCTACTGCCACTTCTCCTAAACACTTCCATAGTTCCACTGGTATGTCATCAGGATCTCTTCATGGCTTTTCTAACTTCATCCTTTCTAACCTGATCTACCTTCTTCCTAATAGTCTCTGGTTCCTCGTTTCTACTTTCCCTTTCATTTTCCTCATTCAACAACTCTTTAAAGTTCCTCCTTCTATTTCTACCTTCACACACATCAACCTGTCTGACTCTCGTTTCACCTCTACCACATTTCTTACATATTCTTCCTTGCTGCCCTTCCACCTGGTCTCCTGCACACACAAAATATCTACTCTTCTTCTTTCCATCACATCAGCTATTTCTCTACTTTTCACTGTCATTGTACCTACATTCAGAGTTCTACACTTCAGACCAACACTTCTATTCTTCCTCTTTTCTCTTTTTCTCCTAACCAAACGCCCTCCACTTCTTCTCTGTCTTTGACCAACAGTAGCCCAATTTCCATCAGTGCCCTGTAGGTCAACGGCACTGTTGGCGGTCGTTGTTAACCCGGGCCTCGACCGATCCGGTATTGAAATAGTTTTAGTGATTCGCATATTAGATTTGGCTACAAGTTTTACGCAGGATGCCCTTCCTGACGCAACCCTCACCATTTATCCGTGTACCCTAGTGGCTGGTTTCAAAAACAAACATCTATGTTTAATAATTATAAACAAAAATGTGATTTTTATTCCATTTTATCCAGAAAAAAATCCAGCCCTTGACCCCTGATTTAAACCATCATAAAATAGTTCCTGATTCTAAATTTTTGTGCAGAAACTCCGTGGTCTGATCTCGTCAGAGATACCATAAGACAAAACAAAATGTTCCTTCCGATTAGTACACATTCCTGATTTTCTTCTGAAAAATAGAGGTAGGAAATGAAAAAAATCCACGCTCCAAAATCTATAAAAGTCACAAAAGCTAGCTTAAGCTAGCTTAAGCGTGCATTAGTCACAACTGTGTAAGAAATCTGCAGAATCAGAAACAATACTTGCAGAGTTTGATTTTACAATTTTAGCAATGTATGTAGTATACAGTATATTGCTTCTGCAAGAGCAAAAAGGCTTTTTTTATGCTTGATGGACCAATTCAAAAGGTCTGCACGTGAAAAACAAAAATCAGACTTGGTACCAACTGACAATTCTCTGACATATTAAATTCTTACCTGTCCCCAATCCAGCCAGGGTTGCACTGTGAGCACTTTCCGTCAATGGGGTCACAGTGGTGACCATCCTTACAGGTGGGGCAAACTTCCTGACAGTTCTCGCCAAAAAAGCCCTTGGAGCAAAGCTGATCACACCGCATCCCGTTCCAGCCTCGATCGCAGGTGATGCAGCGTCCCTCTGTGACTTTACAAGGCTGCTGTCCTTTACAGTGTCCACATCTGTGGTCAGGCGAACAACACACAAACCAAGTGTTTCTCATTTGTCTTGTTTACACAAAGAAATCCCCGGTCCCATATCTTGGTGTGGTGAAACAGTTTAACCTGATGAAAGACATGTGTATCTGAATGTTTTTTGTTCATCTAATGGTCATTTAAACAGGGAGATAAACAACATTCTGTTAAATCAAGGTTTCAGATAAACTGCGTGGGAACATTTTCCCAGACCATGAAACTTCTTGAGTGTTACACCAAGGACTGGTTTCATAGACCAGGCTTAAGCCTAGTCCCTGACTGAAGTTTCAGGATGTTGGAAGAATTTAATTTATTATCATTGCTTCATGCTGTACTGTCGCTTTAAGAAACTGTTTGCTTCTCATATTATAATCTAGTGTGATCAAGACTGATGGAGAAATTACCAGACACAGTCACACCCCCATTCACACCCACCTTCTTACTCCATACCCATTCATATACTCACACACGATCACATGATATGTAATCTGATAATTTTATAAACTCAACAAAAGTGCAGAGGAAGGGTGTGGCTACTCGGAGTTGATGAGGAAGCTGCCAGAAGAGTAAGCTGCACTCTCCCCTTGCAAGTAAAAAATCAAGACGTCTTTTGTGTTGTTACTTCGTCGTTATATATGTTAGAATAAACCTGACACAGGACTAAACTGAAGCTTAAAAAATCCTTCCTAGAGGCTGGTTAAATTTCTGCTTAGTAGTTGGCCTGACAAGTACTTGTGGATGGAAGTAATCCATTAAATTACTTGAATAAAGGTTTTCGAGACTGCGTTTAGCATATATGAAGAAAGTTTGGGATGTTTGGCATCGGGAAAGTTTCATCACGAAACTGGTGATTCCATAGTGTAGTGGTTATCACGCCAGCCTTACACGCAGAAAGCCCTGAGTTTGAGCCCAGAGGAACCACATACTCCATGGCGCCTCCTGTGTGTGATGCAAAGACTCACACATACATATAGCGTCTGCTGAGCCCTGTCTGTAAAACTGGCCCTCAATATTTTTTAAATGTTAGATTTTTTTTTTATGGACTAATCAAAACCCAACTCCGTATCTTGAACACTAATTTTGGAAAGTTTGCAAAAATGTGTCCTGTGATAAACGTGCCCTACCTGTTCCTGCAGTTCTGTCCGTAGAATCCAGCCGGACACGGCTCTCTGCAGAACTTCCCACGGTAGCCCGGAGTGCACTTACAAGAGCCATCAGCTTGGTTGCATTTGCCGTGGAAACACTGGCAGTACCGCTCGCACCGCTGGCCCCACAGCATCTCAGGACACTGGCAGCGTCCCGTGAACTGTTCACATGGCGAGTTGTTACAGTTGCACTGCACAGCGCAGTTTCTCCCCATCCACCCAGACCGGCACTGGCATCGGCCCGTCATGGGGTCACAGACGGAGTTGACGCTGCAGTAGCACTTGTTGTTACACTGAGGACCCCAGACGCCGGGGTGACATGTGCATTTGCCCGTTTCTTGGTCACACTGGCCTTTTTGGCACAGACATGCATTCTCACAGTTTGGTCCCCAGCGGTTGTGGTTGCAGGTACACTGGCCGGTCAGGTCATCACACTGGCCATTAGGGTAACAAAGACATTTCCCTTTACAGTCGGGACCCCAGAACTGGCCGGGACACTCTGTTAAAGTGACAGTTGTAGTCAGGAAACAGGAAGAAATCCGTACAGAAATAATTTAAATTAGTTTAAAACACTTGTATCCACAACTGGTAGAACTGGAGCAGTAGTTTGACCCAAGATTGAATCACAAAAGTATCAATTTCCATGGTGTACAAGTGTTTCCCAAACTTTTTTTCTGGGGACCCATATTTTAAAAGTCACAAACCTTCACGACCCAAGTCAATAGACATTATTCCTTAACTCCTAGGAAACATGATGTGAGACAACCCAAAAAAAACTCTTGCGACCCAACTGAGGGTTGCGACCCAGTCTTTGGGAAACAATGGTGTACAGCAGTGGAAAAGCAGTATTAGCCCATAAATCTAGACCTGGGGTTTTCAACCTGTGGCTCTGCAGCCCATTACTGTACACTTGCCCTCGACATTTAACATTTGTGAATGGACCAAAATTATTTTGAATGTGCTCTTTAGAACTAAAATTCCTCAATTGTATTAATCAGCAAGTCTTTTTAAGTTAAAAATTAAAATCCTAAATCTGATTAATCAAACGGAAGCTTTGGATTCCTCATGTAAGTTGGATAAAAGCATCTGCTAAATGCATGAATGTAATCTAAGGCAAATAATTGCAAATAATCCTTGCTGGGATAAAAATAAATCTACATTCATAAATATGAAAAAAAAAATTGTGTGCTGAAAGAGAAGGACAAAAAAACAACATAGGATGGTATAACAGGTTAATAAATAATCAACAGCTTTATCTTTACACATCTGTAATACTTAGTTGATCAATAACTGAAAGGTTTCTGTGGCTCCCAGTAAAGTTTAAATGGTGGTTGAAGTGATAAAAATAGCTCCGGTGGAGGAAACAGATCCCAGATCTGGACCCGCGTACTGACAGAACAACAATGCCATGCTCCTGACATCAGCCAACACCATCAGCCTCAGTAAATACTGCTGTGGAACTGGTATTTAGGGCGGCAACCACAGCTTTGAAGACCAAAGTAAAAAGGATACAAGATATAATTGTGGATTTAAAGTTAAAAAACAAATTCCTTACTGGTGTCACAGCTCGCTCCAAAGTACCCGTGACGGCAGCGACATTCATTTGGCCTGACACACACCTCATTTTCCTTGCATGTGAAGTTGCCTTCACAGAGAGCTGGGGTGAACAAGAGCAGATCACGTTATTTAAACTGTTTGTCTTAAAGCGCTTCATGACATCGTTGGACTTGTGGAGGTGAACGTACACGTCAGGCATTCGTCTCCTAGCTGGCTCCATCCGCCGCAGCACGCCAGTCCCGGTGACCTGGAAGAGTTATTATGACATCCAAAATGAGAGGGGGGAGGGGGATAATGAAGCCCCGGAATAAAACACAGTCGAAAACAAACATCATCACAGTGGCAACACCCAGCTCACCATCCCTTCATCTCAAAGTACTCATTCATGTGGTGAAGGCATGACGCATGTGTCTAACACATGCTTGTATAATTTTCCACACAAGGGTTCATTTACATCTGACTCTAACTGGTAGCCCCCTACGGAGTCCTTCCTCTTAAAACTGCAATTCAGCCTTTTGAGAACGTTGCAGGAGGAAGTAAATATTCATAAAATAAATATTCAGCCTAAGTTCTGGCCTGTCAGACAAAGATAGGTTTATCAGCTCTTTCTCCAACCCCTGTGACCTCCGTGGGGGCCCCTGAAACATGTCACTGTCACATTTGTGGATTAGAATTGACCTGCCATGTTCTGAAATACTTGTGATGTGAGGAAAATGCTTAAGATCTAGTTTTGACTATTGTATGTATGTGTACATACAGTGCCTATCATAAGTATTCACCCCCTTGGATGTTTTACCCTTTTAGTGCTTTCATAAATCAATCATGGTCAATAAAATTTGGCTTTTTTAACACAAGAATTTATTGAAAAAAACTCTTTAATGTCAAAGTGAAAACAGATTTCTACAAAGTAATGTCAATGAAATAAAAATATATAAAGAGATATAATTGTTTGCATAATTAATCACCCCCTTTTTAAGTTAATGGTCTAATTTAATAGAGGTCCATCAAATTCTTGCCAATAGTCTCACAATTAGTGAAATGAAGATCACCTGAGTGGTGTGGGTGTGCTTCAAGTGATTGAGGTATAAAACACCTGTGTCCGAATGGTCCAGACTGGTGGATCAGTATTCTTGG